TTACCTGTGATTCTTTGCCCATTACTTACTTGTCAATACCTTATATACAACATTGACTCCAAAAAACATTAGTTAACTCAAAAATAGAAAGCTACATGTAAAAGTCAGTTAATTGCCAGTGTCAAGATACATAAATCAAGCTTGAATCCACAGCACATCCACATGCAGAAATTGAGAACAACAAATGTAGACACATTACATCGAAATGAACACTAAATACAGTTATCCTAGACAGCTTTAGAATCATTGATCACCATGAGTGATGCAACCGGTATTTCCATCTACCGGTATAAGCTTCTATCCTTACAAGTAAAATGTGCAAGTGAATGTTTGTCAAGTTCGTGAGTGTGTGTCTTTATGTATGGTATAGTGGCGTGAACATTCCTGCAATCGAAAACAAGCTGAACAGAAAATCCATTCTGTGCTACTACCATTGTCAAATTTTGGGGAGTCGTTCCAATAAAAAGTTGTTGAATTGATTGTTGACTGACATACCAAAATCCTTTATTGGAGCAGAACATATTCTTGATTAACTCAAAATAATGCTGTTATGTTTTTAGACACACAAAAGACTCAAAACAATGAAACCGTCCGATTCAAACAACATTATTATGTCTTTGTAAATCAAGTCTTATCACCATTGCGTTTCTGGCCCAGAAAAACCAAAAACGACCAATTTTTGCTCAATCTCCTATGATTTTTTGACAACATCATTAATTCAGTCCAGAGGTTAGATACCGGTAGGTCATTTATTAGAGAGCTTTGGGAATCAGACTTTTCTATATAATACTGCAGTTTGATTATTATTAATCAGGATATATGCATATTTTAAAGAGGTTAAATAACTTCAATCATAGATTATTAGCTCCGCTGTCGACTTTGTCGATCGGAGCATATATGAGTGATTGTCCGTCGTCGTCCATGTCAATGTTTTACCTTTTCGACTTCTTCTTGAAAACTACAAGCCTGAATGCTTTGATACTTGGTGTATATGTACCTTGGGTAGACCTCTCTCAGATTTGTTCATTTTGTAATGATATCTTTAATTCTCTAATTTTGGTGAATATTTTTGACATTTTTGGTAAAAAGTGATATTTTCAACTTCTTGTTAAAAACCGCAAGTCCAATTGCTTTGATTACATATATAGGTA